AATTAATCTTGAGTGTAGTTACGAGCGTCGTTTGGCAGACATGTTAGGTTGTCCCATTGAGAGGTTCCCTCTTAAGTATTTGGGACTTCCATTGGGTGGTAATCCTAGAACAGAGGCCTTCTGGGATCCAGTCCTCGTTAAGATTGGGAAAAGATTGGAGGGCTGGAAACGAGCATTGTTGTCAAAGGGTGGGAGATACACTTTGGTACAGTCAGTGTTGAGTTGTGTTCCTATTTATTTTTTGTCCCTTTTCAAGATACCGGTCCGTTTTGCAAGGCAAATTGAGAAACTTTTGAGAGATTTCCTTTGGGAAGGGTGTGATGAGGGTAAGCGGGATCATTTAGTTAGATGGGAGGTTGTTTCTCTTCCTCATCATAAAAGGGGTCTTGCTATTGGGAACATTGTTGCTAGAAACATTGCCCTCTTGAGCAAATGGTTGTAGAGATTTTCCGAGGAAAGCGAGTCCTTATGGGGTTCTATCATTAAAAGCAAGTATGGAATTCAGGCTAATGGTAGAGATTCTATTGTGGTTAGTAGGGGCAGTTGTCGTTCTCCTTGGAAGTCTATCTCTCGGTTGTATCCAATTGTGTCTCGGTTTTTCTCTATGAAAGTGGGTGATGGGGCTAGTATACGTTTTTGGGAGGATGTTTGGGTAGGGGATACATCTTTTGATAAAGCTTTTCCACTTTTATATCGATTGGTTCAAGCTCAAAATGTTTCAATTGAGTCGGTGGCACCTTCTCATGTGGCACCAATATCTTGGAATTTCAACTTCCTTAGGAATCTTAGTGATAGGGAGTCTCTTGAGTTGACATCTTTGTTGACGTTGGTTGGTGGGGTTTCCTTAGCATCATATCCTGATAAAAAGGTGTGGAATATCAGCTCTTCAGGGGTTTTTTCTTGTAAATCCTTGTTTGATAATCTCATTGATAAGTCATCCGTTCCTCTGTTTCCTCTTCACATGAAAATTTGGAAAGCGGGTGTCCCTCATAAAGTAAAGTTTTTCATGTGGTCCTTAGCTCATAGAGGTGTTATGACCAATGATCTATTCCAAAGGAGAAGGCCAAATCACCATCTTTGCCCTCAATGGTGTGTGATGTGTAAGAGGAGTTCGGAATCAGCGGATCACCTCTTTCTCCATTGCTCGGTGGCTATTCAGTTATGGCAGCGTCTATTTGGCTTGTGTGATGTTAAATGGGTTGCTCCACGGGATTGCACACATATGCTTCTTGTCAAGTTTGATGGGTTCGGCGGATCTAAGCGAGCCAAGTCATTGTGGTCTTGTATTGTTTGTGCTATTTTCTGGATCATATGGCTAGAGAGAAATGCACGGATCTTTGATGGAAAGGAGGCTGATGCAGATTCGTTGTGGAATAGGGCTGGATTTTTGACATCTTTTTGGGCCTTTGTGTCTCCTCCTTTTAGGGGAATCCCTCTTTTTTTGATTTCTAGGGATTGGGCTGCTGTTTGTAACCCTTAGTGTTTGGGTTTGCTTGTTTTTTCTCTTTTTATGATGGTTGTGTTTTACTTTCATCATGTTCTTTTTCTCTGTATGAGGATTTCTCGTCCTCCTTTCTTTCTTCTCTAATAAAATAAATTTCGTTGTTGTTTCAAAAAAAAGTAATGATAAAGACCCCAAATATTCTATCAAAAGTTTTACCAAATGTCTCACATGGGTGTGGGACCTACACAATGTGGGTCCCATGTGGCTCCCACACCCATGTGAGAGGTTTGGTAGAAAATTTGATAGATTAGCATGATTGATCAACAATTTCTAAAAAAAAAAATTCAACCCATGATAAAACCTTGCAGTAATAACCTTTTTTTTTTTTTTTTTTTCCTTTCCTTTCATATTTTCCAGTTGCAATATCTTAGAAGTGAAAAAGTTGCACACTATCTACAGGCATGAATTCATGGTCAGGGTTGTATTTTTTTTAATAGATTTTGATTACCATTGGAATGCTCTATCATGTGCATTGTACTTGTAATAGTGTCTCTTTAGGCGTGTGTTTAAATGATTGTATTTTATTTGTTTTTGGTGGTTCTAACGATGAAAACAAAGATTTTAGGTTGAAAGTGTTTATTTTACTAGAATGAGAGTAGAATGAATTGATCATTTTTATCAGAGTATCAATTCTCACGGTTGGTTTACCAAAAAATGATTAAAAAGAAAATACATTATAAATCGAATAATTATTATTTCATAAAAAGATTAAGAAATAATCATTCTATTGTATTCCACTTAGAGTTTGTCGAACCAAACTGGGTACCAAGGACAATCAAAATATTTTCCTTCACTTCCTTTCTTCAAAATAGTTTGGAAAATAATCTTTATTGGACAATTTTGTATAGTGTATATACAACAATAAAAATCTTTTTTTTTTCCTCAACAAACCATAGTATATATGAAGCTGATGCTCATAATCCAAAATGAGATCTCAATAATCTAATCATCTATTGATGAAAGAGCAAAATACAAGATAAAAATCAAATTTGCATAATAGACACATTATTGCATCAAGTGTAATGTTGGCTTCAACAAGATTCTTTTCTTTTCTTTCCTTTTTCATCAAAAGTACAGGCCGTATATTTCATGAAATTTAAACCCCAAATAGAAAATATTCTAAAGTTTGTATAAAATCAAGTGAGCACCATATTGCGGCTGAAGAGTTAACATAGCGAACGGAGCATGAGTATAGGACGGTGAAAGCTCAAAAGAGAATTATTGTAGAATCGTAGCTATGGCCATCTTGGCTTCTAACATGGAGAAGTTTTGTCCAATACATACACGAGGTCCAGAACTAAATGGGGAAAACGAAGCTTGATTGTTCTTCGTTGCCTTTGACACTCCTTCTGCAAACCTCTCTGGCTTGAACTCTTTTACATCGTCACCCCAAATTTCACGGTCATAATGTAGCAACATTACATGTAAAGAAACTATCACTCCCTCCAGGAGGGTGATTCCTCCTAATTTCATATCTTCATGGACCACTCGTTCCATCCAAACTAGCGGGGGGGTATAACCGTAAAACTTCATACAAAATCATAGTCACCTGAGGAAGAGAAGTTTTAAAGATTACAGGTAATTAAATTTACATGAAGTGCAACATTGTGCATACAAATACTTTTCTTTCC